GGGGTGTGGGCAGTAGCCACACAGAAACATATCAGCCTGTCTAGGGTATGTGGGGGAGAGTCCACAAGGACATTAAGAATAAGGCCACCGTTATCCCTGGTGACGCTACCCATGGGATGTTCGGCGGTTGGGGTGTCCATCTCCTTGCCCCCTATTACCAGATGGAAGAAAGATATGAAGAAAAAGATTCACTCGTAGAGATGATTGGTAGAGGCTTAGTCAATTGTACAGAATTATGGGAGCCGATAGTGAGGAGATTCTCTAATGTCACCTTAAATAAGATGCCAGTATTAATGAAGCCAATAGAAAAGATCGATATGGATCACTTAAGGGATAAGTTAAGTGCGTTGGTAGACGAAGGTGTGGCTTGGGAAGACGATGAGCAGATCGCGATAAGTTGGTCAATAGTGATGGGTACATTCCTAGTTATAGCCATCGGGGGTGTAATAATATGGAAGATTAAGAGTAAGAGAAGATTAGCGAACGACAGTCTAGTGAGCATGCAACAACTCGAGAGGGAGATGCCGAGCAGTGTTCCTTACTCAGACAGGACTGGCGAAGAAATTGCTGAAAGACCAATGGAGGAGGCTGGCGTGAGACCACCACGTGCGGCGGAAAACCTCCCACGGCAGAGAGGAAAACATTGACCAAGAAGAACAAACCCTAGTGAACACATCTGCACCTACAAACACACGCACACATTACCTTGCATGTAAAACAAAAAGAAAATGAAAAGAACATTTCATTGCATGTAGAACAAAAGAAAATGAAAAGAACATTTCATTGCATGTAGAACAGAAGAAAATGAAAAGAACATTTCATTGCATGTAGAACAGAAGAAAATGAAAAGAACATTACATTGCATGTAGAACAAAAGAAAATGAAAAAAGAACATTTCATTGCATGTAGAACAAAAGAAAATGAAAAGAACATTTCATTGCATGTAGAACAGAAGAAAATGAAAAGAACATTTCATTGCCTGTAGAACAAAAGAAAATGAAAAGAACATTTCATTGCATGTAGAACAAAAGAAAATGAAAAGAACATTTCATTGCATGTAGAACAAAAGAAAATGGAAAGAACATTACCCTTGCATGTTAGAAAGTAGAATAGAATTGCATGAGACAAATGCATGGTGCATGTTAAATGATGTAATTGGGTTTAGGTGTCATTTACGGGTAAATGACAAATCGGTTAGGGGAGGATTGTGGCACCTTGCATTATTAGAAATATTCATAGAAATATGATTTAATTTTTTCTTACTCGGTTACTAAACAGGTTGTTGATTTTTTTTTTTAAAACGGAAAATAACTGAGTTGAAAATAATTCACTAAGATTGTACTAGACGATCTTAAGGGAAGAAGAAAGAAAAGAAAAAAAAAAAAAAAAAAGAAAGAAGAAAAAAAAGAGTTGTATGATGCATGACCCAATTGAGGGTGGAGATAGGAGTCAGAAAGAGATTTAGGTCAGCGTCTTGAATTTTTCGAAAGACAATTGGAAGAATAGAATTATAAATAATAAGAAGAAAGAAAGGAAAAAAAGACATGATATCAAAACGGGCCGCTTGATGTAGACCAGATATCGTCAAAGCATCTGACCTACTTTTGCATGGAAAGACACCTTATCAATTTGGTAAAGAGAAACAATAGAAAATGAAACAATTTTAATCAGAGAAAAAAAGTGTCTTTGGGTTGGGGAGTGACCGGTGGAACGATATACAGATCCTGACCTGTTAAAATTGGACACCCACGTTAATAAAGTGGAGACATTTTCAAAGTAGATAATTAAGATTTTCGACTATCAGGAAAAACAAAGAGGTAAAAAAGAGGGACAATTGCTTTTGGCTCACAGAGGGGCGCCAAGAAGGCGGAAAAGATCCTTTCTGAAGTCAAGTCTAATTAGCGGCGGGCTGTTTGACAAAGTCCAGGTGAGAGAAGGCCAAGATGGTCATTTTTCGTACGCAAAAAAAAAAAAAAAGGAAAAATTAGATTTTGTTTTTTTAGAACAAGAACGATATAAGCCCGCCCCGATTGATTGCAGGAAACGCCCAATCAGGATCTCATTAGCCGAAAACGGTCACGTGGCTGCAGAAAAGAAAAGAAAGAAATGCTCAACCAGAATCCCATTAGCCGAAAACGGTCACGTGGCTGCGGAAAAGAAAAGAAAGAAATGCTCGATCAGAATCTCATTAGTCGAAAGCGGTCACCTGACATACGAGAGACCGAGAGAGATGGATATGCGCCTCCCCACCAAAAGCACTATGAGGAAGTAGGGGTGAAAACAATAGCGATAATGGGGAAACAGAATTAATGCGGCTATTGGAATTATCGAGAAAACCCTGACGCCGACAGACCCACCCCAGTTTGTTGCGGCGTCAATATAAGCAGGACCCCAGTCGACAGAAATCAGTAGAGTTGGAGTTGCAGTTGGAGTTGAGAGTTGGACCGCGGGCAGGGGGATAGAGCCTGAACGCGGCCATCAGGCCCGATTCACTCGCCCCTTTGCGGGCAGAAGAATCCTCAGACAAGAAATCCTTTCAGCCCAAGTCGAAGACAGGAGAACTTCCAGCCCAAGTAGACGAAGAAGAAGATTGCCTGAAAGCCTGAGAAGAATTGGAGATGCAGACAAGCCGAAAGTCGATGAGAAGTTAAAAGTTCAGCCCCGGACGGCAGTGAGAAGAGACCACCTCAGACGACAGAGAGTTGCGGCTAAGTTGAAACAAGAAATCTTCCACCAAGTTGAAACAGGAAAACTACCAGCCCAAGCAGACGAAGAAGAAGAAATACAACTCAAGTCGGAGAGAAGAATCAACTGCGAATGATCGATAGAAATTAGCCCCAGTGTCGAACTGAACCACACTCCGACATACATACATGATTCTAGAAAGTAGGTAATTCGACATTTTCTATTGTGTGATAGAAGCTTGGTGCCATAGTCCACAGAGCGGGTTGGGAATTGAGAACAATTTTGTTTTTTATGTAACGGACATTAAGATATAAAAGGTTGTTACCTTTTTTATCAGCAATTTTGTTTAGTGTCGTGAGTTTTTGTTTTATTTGTGTTTTGCCACCCCGTCGGACTCGACTTGTATCGGCCCAAATCCCTGCTGGTCCCGTCTGTCTAAGATCTAAACACAGCGTGGGTAGACAGACCGGAGATCGGTATAGTTGCTTTTAGTGACCAGGTATTGGAAGCGAGTCGGGAAAGGCGAGGCTGGTGATCATCTGACCAAGGGGTTGGAGCGGCACGCTTGGACCCAGGAGGAGCGACCAGGAGGAGCGACGTCTCAACGCCGTAACCAAAGGATCCGACCCTGGGCCAGGTGTGTAACCGTCACAATAATTAATGCTTTCATTTTAGGGTTAGACTAAAATAGAAATCATTCTGATTAATATTAAATTTTACATTCAATTATATATATATTACACTCAGTATATATATATATATATATACATACCTACCTAAACTTACGAATGCACCCATACACACACACACATATATTTATATTCTTTATATATGTGCCTACAATACATATATACATATATATATATGCATATATACACCCCTATACAAATTCGCATACATATATTATATATAAAATCATATATCAATGTCCAAGTCCATCTACACATTTGTATACATACAATTATGTATCTGCATCCATGTGTGCATATAATCATTTCCAAAACTAAAAATAACATAATATTTTCCTTTCTATATAGTTATTTCTAAATATATTTAGTTAGATTGAGGTGGTTTTTATGTGTATGTGCCTATGTGTGCAATTGCACAGGTGAATGAACGTATGTATATGTAAAATTTACATAAGTGTATATGCATGATATATATAAAAGAAAAAAAACAAAATCTTTAATATTACCTTCAAATATTACTCCATCTTAATTTGAAACCTAAACTTTAACTAAGTAATATTACCTATCTAAAAATAGTTACAAATTACATTCATGAATGAGATTCAAACTGATAAAGATGTTACCTTAACAGTCATTTACAATATTAAAAGATTACTATCAATAAACTGTTATATTTTAAAAAATTCTTTTAATGTGTTCCCTATGAATGTGTTAATAAATACAGTATTTAAGTTATATAAAATCCCTAAATTATTTGTAAAGAGTTAAATATTTAAATTGCTAGCAAGCATCAAATTAATTTCTTCGTGTTTTTTTAACATTTAAATTACTATCAAACATTAAAATCTATTTTTTTACATAAATTGCTAAAAATATACCACCCCTTTTTTCCTACGTAAAACCTAATTACAGCTTCTTTCTCTTTACTTCCCCCTTCTTTCTTTTTTCTTTTTCTTTTTCTCTCTTCTCCCCTCCCATTTCAATATATCACTTCCGTTAAGTATACTGTTTAAATAGGTCAAGGTCTGGTCCCTCCTCCCCCAATACTAAGTATGATTGAAAGAAATATTAAAATAAACCCTCTCTAAACTCGACCATGTCTCTCACACCAGTCCTCGCTACCCTCTCTGTTAAATTACATAAACTTAATACTACCTGTCAAAACTGTAAATTTTCATTTCATCTTTCGTTTCATTTTTTGGAAGTGTTATCTGATGATCCAGCATCCCTTAAAAGGGCTCTGGTGAAATAAATTATTATAATGGAACCTTAAAGTGGTCTGTTTTTCTTTAAATTATTAGCTCTGGATTTACATTGAGTTCTCAGGATTTCATCCTCCTTGGGACTACCCATACGGATTACCAAGTTTTTCATAACTTAAATATATATATGTATATATATATATATATATATATATATACATTCAATTATATTATATTTTATATTTCTACATTCAACACCATCACTTGATAAAACACCAGAAGTGTTGAAACAAAATGGCAATTTTTGTAATGATTTTATAACATATTTATGTTATAATTTTTGAATAAATAATTATATATATATATATCAAGAAAAACATACAGGAAATTCAAAATGTTGCAAAAACCTTTCATTTCCACTTGCCTCTTTTTCACGTTGATGTTCTGCTTTCTCATCTTCTAATTGGGCCAAAATGTCTTTTCTTTCATTGTCTAACCTTTCTGAGTTTTCGTTGATTTTCTGTTGCATCCGAGACTGGTGGCCACGGAGTTTTTCATATGTCTCGTCTGTTTCAGCCAACTGAACCTGCAGCAGTTTTGTCAAATCAGATATTTTGTTGGAAATGGCAGGAATGATTTCACTGCCTGCTTAAAAGGGAAGAAAAGATGACATTGGATTTAAAAAGCCAAGTTATAAAACATTGGAAAGAAAATGTCAGTACGAAAATGGTGTCTTAAGTTTCATTAAAGGGAAAAGTCAGTGTAGAATCAATTCAGTTTGCAATATGCAATCCAAAAACAATGTGCCGAGTGTGAAATAATAATAACATCCTTCACCCACTCCATTCAAATTTGGAAGAATGGAGAGGAAGAAGGAAAGGAATTCACAAGCCTATGTGAAAATGTGAAATTTTCTTTGGACAAAAAAGAAAGCTAAAAGAGAAAGAGGAAAAAAATAGCTTTCAAATCTCATGCCACCAGTAATTATCATCAGTGGGTGGTAGTCAAATAAATATCAATAATCCTATAGAGTAGCGAATGCTGGACAGTTTTCTCACAGATGAAGAGAAGACTTGATGCAACTGATAGAGATGTATCTACAGAAAGATACTGAAAATACCATGGATAAAACATGTTAGGAACAAGGAATACTATTTACATTATTCGGACTATTGTCCTCATCTTTGTCGCCATATTTATTACAACGTTTCGGCCGTTGTACACTCCGGCCTTCTTATTTTGCTCAATGCGGTAGACTGTTCTAGTTCCACATGCCATGTTTAATGGATGTCAGTTATCAGTTATCTCCTGTTAATTCCCCTCTTCAAGTTCTCCACTGCCTTAACCGGGTATTGAACTCACACTCTTTGGGTCTTGTCACTGGATCTAACCAATGTCTTTATCCACTGTGCCATAAAGGGCTCAGTTCAACATTCCAACTACCTGAAAAAGGTCAGAGTGTACAACGGCCAAAACGTTGTAATAAATATGGCAACAAAGATGCAGACAATAGTCCAAATAATGTAAATAGTGTATATAATACCTCATCTCAAAAATATAGACAGATAATGAAGACTCACTGGACATGTTGAAGGTGGACTAATTCTCTTTACTAAATTCAAATCAACTCAAAAATTTGACCTATTTTAAAAGTATCTGATTCCAGTTACTTTGAACCTATAAATCGAATTCATACATTTTTTACAGACAAAAGAAATTGATATTACTAAGCAAATATTAACAATACAGTTATCTTTATATAACTTTTTAAATTTTAAAAGCAAATAATATAAATAAATAAATTTGTTATTTGTGATATCTTTATGTAACTTGTTTTTGTTTGGGGGGGGGGTCATTCAACAACAAATATCCAAAAGTTTCAGCTCAACAAAGCCTATTTCAAAAACTTAGTGGACATATGCCAAGCAAGAAATAGTTAGTGACTGTCTTACAATTAAAGCCATCAGCTCAGTTCAAATTTAGTAACCATCCCACTAAACAGATGAACAGAGAGAAAGAAAAGGAAGAAGGAAATCAAAGAAAAATCAATTAAAGAAGAAAAAATGAGGACAAGAAAGAAAGAAAGAAAGAAAGGCATGAAAAGAGGTAAAGCAGAGAAAATGGAAAAGAAAAAATGAACAAAGAGAAAGAAAAGGAAGAAGGAAATCAAAGAAAAATCAATTAAAGAAGAAAAAAACCAGGACAAAAAAGAAAGAAAGAAAGAAAGAAAGAAAGAAAGAAAGAAAGAAAGAAAGAAAGAAAGGTGTGAAAAGAGAAGCAGAGAAAAGAGGAAAGAAAAAATGAACAGAGAGAAAGAAAAAGAAGAAGGAAATGAAAGAGAAAATGAAGTAAAGAAATCTAAACTGGGAAAAGAAAGAAAGAAAGAAAAAGGTAAGAAAAGAGGAAAAACAGAGAAAAGGAAAAGAATGATAGAAAAGGAAGATGTGAATAAAAGAAAAATGTGGTAAAAAAGAGAAAATCGAAAAAATAAACAGAGAGAAAGAAAAGGAAGAAGGTAATCAGAGAAAAATTTATTAAAGAAGAGAAAACCAGTAAAAGAAAAAAGAAAGAAATTAAGAATGAAAGAAAGAAAGAAAGAATGAATGAAAGGCGGGAATTGAGGAAATCTATTCACTTCATTAAAATAAAAGAAACAATTTTTTAAAAGCTTACAATTGTTACTTACCAAGAACCTTTTCATCAGAACCATTTTCGGTAAACTCATCCTCAGTAGATTGGTGGTTGTCTCCCTTTGACATTTCGGAACCACAAATTTCCAGTAATTCTAAATCTTCAACATCATCTTCATCCTGTATAAATTATAAGAACAATACAACTCATTACTTAATGTAATATTATCATAATAATGATATGAATAAAACTAAAAACTAAAGCTTTCATATGTAAAATTATTGTTTGTTCACTTCTGAACTATATTTAAGAATATTTGTGGAGATTTCATAGTTTATTTTGTTCAGGTTAGGTTTAAACTGTTTTATGTATATAGCTTCAAGAATTTTTAATTTTTGTTTATTGTTTTCATGTTTAAGTATAGTTGTGTTGTCAACAAGGATTTTCCAGAATTGAGTACATGGACAGGCATGTTGTTTTCTTAAATGCATATAATTTATAACAGAAGCCATTGGTTTATACTAATAGCTTCCCATACTTAATAAATCTTGTTTTTCACTCTCGCGTGGTCATGTGTGACGTCACAAGCTGCGATGTGATTTTCGCTTCCGTGTCTCATATATACGAGTTTGTCGTTACTTGGAAATTTTTCATGCACCAAGGGCAGACTATCATTGTTGTTTTGTCCGTGTATTGTTTGATATATTGAAATTGTAATCTTTGATAATGGCTTATGTAAGCTGAATGCTTAGATTGGATTTAAACATGTATCAATATGATGTTTTCCTTTTGTCTTTCAAAGCCAGTCTTTTTTAATTTCCTGTATCATAATAAAATAATAAAATTTAACAATTATTAGTGTTCACAAAGTCATTCTTTTTTTAATTTCCAGTGTCATAATAAAATAATAGAATAATAAAATTTAACTATTATTAGTATTCACTGCTCTTTCCCAAAGTCAGTCTTTTTTTTATTTCTGGTGCCATAACAAATAAACTGTTATCTGGTCAGTGCAAGGGAGATAATTCTATTACATTAAACATTTACTGAAAAAAATTTATGTATTATATAGTAAGATAAAAAGATTTCAAATTCATTGTAATTTTCTAATGTTATAAAAATAGGTTCGTCTATCATCCTGTCCACAATCCTATCCATTCTTTTGAAGAGGAGTAGAAATTTATCCCTTGTTTACTGTTTAGTACTGGTTTTTCTTTTCCTTCCAAAGTCTACTCCTACTCTACAACTATTATTGCTAGCTAAATTCTGAAATTTTATTTACTACTAGCAGTAGAGCCCAGTGTTGCCCGGGGATGTAACAGTAAGAGATAGATCGAGTATTGACCATCATAAAGACTGAAAAATAAAATTGACAAAGATTATTGTTTAAGATTGACGGACAGACATATCTTAATTAGTTTTTTTTTTGTTTTTTTTTTTTTTTACGAATTGGCCAAACCCAAACTCAAACAAAAACATTGTTTTCAATCGTTATGAGTCTACCGATTGAATAGAATTTTATTATAAACAATTGTCTTGTAAATAGAATTTTTAAAGCATTCTGAATGTAAAAATAAAGAAAAAAGTGTGCAAGACAATAAGAAGCACAACCTGCCAAAAAAAGTGAAGTTTTGTTGAAATTGGTTGAAAAATGTAGGAAATCCGATCCCATATATAAACGAACCCACACACAAACAACCTGGGTTTTATAATAAGTATAACGCGATATGAGTTGTCTCCCTTTCATTCTCGTGATGCCTCTTAATCATGTTTTCAAATTGATTTCGTGCAAAAACAATTGTGTTTTTCCAATTTTTGGCGCTGTCAGAACCACCGCAACGTAATTTTACATAGTCCTGTGAAGTTTTGTTGAAATCAGTTGAAAATGTTAGAAATCTGATCCAATATATAAACGAACACACACACACAACCTGGGTTTTATAATAAGTATGATTTATTTATTTTTTTTATAAATAGTAGATACATTTGCCTATCATTCAGTTCACATGTTTCCCAGTTCTTTTGAACTACATTAGAAGTTTATTATTTGTTTCCTGGTTAAGGCTGGGTTTCCGGTTCCTTCTGAAGTCTATTTCCACACTATACTTCTAATGTCTCTGCCTAACAACTGAAATTATATTTACTATTATTTTTCCACAATAGGAGTAGATAGGTTCGACTATTGTCCGGTTTTGCTCCTCCCTGGTCTTTTGGACAGGAGTAGAGGTTTATCCTCTGTTTCTTGTTTTGGACTGGCTTTCCAGCTTCCATTCTCTTTCACACCCAGTAGCACTTTGCATCTTAGTAACATTATCACATTATCTGGGATGAATTGATAAAAAAAAATGTACACCGAATATAAATTTTGATTCAACATTTATTCTTTTCATCCTAGGTACAATTCTTACATACCTTTCATCTTCAGTATATATATATATATATATATATATATATATAACAAACATCATGGAAAAGTGTCATTAGATCTGATGTGCTTTGACCTCTTGGCCACGAAGTGTGTTGATAATCAAGCTGAATAGTGCCTTTAAACACAGATTTTTTTATTTTTTCTGACTCTTTAAATAGACATATTTGCTCAGTTTCCTATCCTAATGCAAACAAAGCAATTTCTAAAGAAAAGGATGGTATTTTTTGGCAATGTTTATTGCTTTAAAAAGCAGTGATTAGAATTGTAATAAAACCTAAACATATGAAAGTGAATTAATTCTTTTTTTTTTTTTTTTTTTTAAATTCTTGGGAATTGACAACAAAAATAATAAACACTATTTACTCAATTGTTTATTTACACTGTTTATTGTTTATTCGAATGGTTGGAAAAACAGCAGCAAATTGCCAAATCATTGAAACTTTATAAAATGGTAAATAATAAGGATTTCCTCATAATTGGTTCACATATTTTAATAATTCAATAAATTGTTTATAAATTTACAAATAAAAATTTGTTTTCACATTTATTTCTTTATAAACTAATAAATATTGCATTGCGTCAGCTCGAATTGTATTAGTTTTTAGAATGTTTAAGTATAAAATCATTCTGGTAAGTAAACAATCAATTGTTTAATATTTTTGTTGTAAATTCTCAAGAACAAAGAAAATGTATAAATTCACTTTCCTCATATGTTTAGGTTTTATTCCAATTCTAATCATTGCTTTTTAAATCAATAAAAATTGCCAAAGAATAGAGGTTGTTAAAAAAATGGTGTCATTGGAAAAACAGTTCTTTTGACAGTATGTCTTATTCTAAAAAAAAAAAAAACAAACAGTATTTACATTAAATTATATTCTCATTTCAATGGATAAAAAAATTTATATTTATGTTTGCTGACAAGTCTTATTTGAATGGATGGCAAAACAAAAATGTCACTTGTATTGAAAACAAAAAACAAACAGTATTTACATTATTTATTTATGAAATTACTCATTTCAATGGATGGCAAAACATCAACTAATATTACTTATTTGAATGGATGGCAAAACATCAACTAATATTACTTATTTGAATGGATGGCAAAACATCAACTAATATTACTTATTTGAATGGATGGCAAAACATTAACTAATTGCCAATTGATTCAAATTTTATAAATTTATGAATAAAAGAATTTATGGATAATAATTGTTTTCACATTTATTACTTTATAAATTCTCAAATAATATATATTGTATTGCATTTGTTCTCATTGTAGTCTTCAGAATGTTGTAAATATAAAATTATTTTTGTAAATAATCAAATAAATAGGGTTTTTTGTTGTAAATTCTCAAGAACAAAAAATGTATTATATGTTTAGGTTTTATTACAATTACTAATCATCACTTTTTAAAACAATAAACATTGCCAAAGAGTATGTGTAGTTAAAATATTATTAGTGTCATGGGAAAAACAGTCTTTTTGACACTCTGTCTTATTGCAGTCATGTAAGTCCATGTTTACCGAAAGATTGAATCAAATCAAATTGATTATGATTGGATATAATGAAATTCTTTAAAAATACTTACAGATTCAGAAAATGTTAGGGAAATAGTTTTCTTAAAAGACTCCAAAGATCCCAGATGCTTGTCTGATTCTGAAATAAAATGACAAAGAATTATTTTTTTAAATACTTGTCTGGCATGTCTCTATAGGTTGAAAATTACCAACTAATTAAGCATTTTGAATTGAGTTCATGCAATTTCCATTCTCTCTCAATATTTCTAGGTATGCTAAACATTAGGTTAACTCTACTTCCTCCAATTAGTATGCACCACACATGGCAAGTCATGTGACTGTCAACAGCCAATGAACAGAGCCCTATCTTGAGAGAGAGGGGACAGTCTTTATGCAGGCATGGCTAAATGATGTATTCTAGACACATAATCAAATAGAACTTCTTGTAAGATGATTTGCCAGATTATGTAACATCAACTAGCTTTCCTTTTCAGAGTCTGAGAGAAGGCATGTAACACATTTCTATACTTTCTTAACATGTTTTCTTTCTAGAAAATTGTTATATTCCATGCTAAGGGAATAAACACATAACAGCAGGTGGATACTAGAAGAAAGGTTTATTGTACACAACAAGTACAATATGAAATACGGTACAGTTATACACACAGGTCAATCTAGTAGTGAGTGCCACTAATTAGAAGGTCGGATGTGTTTGCGGCGTCTCTATCACTCTCCTGTCAGCCTCTCGTAGATGGTTGACTTTATAGGTACTTACTACCTATAGTGTAATCATTCATGGGGGTGCCTGGTTATTCCATTACATCAAAAACAAAAACAAAATATTCATTTACGTTTTCTCAACTTCTCTTGGACTGTCTTTATTTTGTTATAAATGTTTTGGTAATTATCTTTATCATGATCCAGATATTATCAAGATCACACAAGATATATTTGATATTGAGGAGGCACGTTGGAGTAATGGATAGCGGCTTGGATTGAGGAATTGGAGAGCCGAGTTCGAATTCCAGTCAAATCCATTACATTCACTTACGTGCTAATACCCTTGGGAAAGGTGTGAATCCTCTTCTTCTCCCTTCAGCTATGGGTAAATAGCAGGACAGACTGGGTTCTATAGCCTTGGATGGCAACTGGTCCAGAAGAAGGAAAACTCTGAATTCAAAACTCATGGAGGGTGAATGGAGTCTCTCTGAGCCTTGGTTGGCAATCCATTTAGTGTTGGTGTCACGATAAAAACACCCTTGATAGCCCTAGCGAAGCATCAAGAATTCAGCTATTTGACAAGATTATGAATTACACCAATCAAAGTATTAGCTATGACAGATAAGGAATACTGGAAAGGTGTAGTGAGTTCAATCTCGGCTGAGGCCGCAAGAGGATGATGATATTTGATACCACAAGATATATTTGATATATTTGATAACCAAACATAAGCTGAGCTTTAAATGATGCAAGTCCAGATTAAGAAGAAATGGCAGCAAGTAAAAGTAGTAAAGTTTGTAAGGGAAAACAAGAAGAAAAGCACTAACCATCAACCGTAAGAAGATAGAACGTGTGATCATCTACAATGGGAAAAGCCCAAGAAGTGAGCTATGAATTAGAGATTTCAAATTCAGGCAAGTACAAGAATTTAAATATCTGCAAAGTGTTATAAGAGAAAATGGAAAATGTGACAGAAATTCAAATGCACATTAAAATAGTGAAAGATGCCTTTCAAAAGCTGAGCAAAATATTAAGAAACAGACTTGGTTTGGTTTGGTTTGGTTTTACGGCACATCAAACTCAATGGATTATTTAATGCCGACAAGAATTTTTATTGCTGGTAATATTTTTACCAAAAATATATTGTTGGTAATATTTTTACCAAAAATGTATTGTTGGTAATATTTTTTTAAATTTATTGCTGGTAATAATTTTTTTCCCAAAATGTATTGTTGCTATTTTATCAAAAAAGTATTGTTGGTAATAATTTTTTCAAAAAAGTATTGCTGGCAATATTTTTTTCAAAAATATATTGCAGGTATTTTTTTCAAAAAATGTATTCCTGGTAATATTTTTTTCAAAAAATATATTTTTGGTAATATTTTTAAAAAGATTTATTGCTTGTAATAATTTTTATCCTAAAAAGTATTCCTGGTAATATTTTTTCCAAAAATGTATTTTTGGTAATATTTTTTAAAAAATTTATTGCTGGTAATAATTTTTATCCCCAAAAGTATTCCTGGTAATATTTTTTCCAAAAATGTATTTTTGGTAATATTTTTTTTAAATTTATTGCTGGTAATAATTTTTATCCCCAAAAGTATTCCTGGTAATATTTTTTCCAAAAATGTATTTTTGGTAATATTTTTTTAAAAATTTATTGCTGGTAATAATTTTATCCCAAAAAGTATTCCTGGTAATATTTTTTCCAAAAATGTATTTTTGGTAATATTTTTTAAAAAATTTATTGCTGGTAATAATTTTTATCCCAAAAAGTATTCCTGGTAATATTTTTTTTCAAAAATGTATTGTTGGTAATATTGTTTTTCTTCAAAAATGTATTGCTGTTAATTTTTTTTTTTTTTTTTCCAAAATGTATTGCTGGTAATATTTTTTTCCAGAAATATATTACTGGTAATAATTTTTTCTTCAAAAATTCATTGCTGGTATTAAAACCTATTTTTACACGTTAATAACATATTGACCCCATAGCTGGGACCCTAACAGGTGCTACCACCCTGGGTCAGGGTGGACCTGGGGACACCAGCAATTAAAAGGTGGTTCCATGCTTCTCAAAACCTCCTGATCAGAAGCCTTGCTGCCAGATGTAGTTTATCATCTTACCCAAAAATATTAAGAAATGGTAAAATTTTGTTAAAAAACAAAGAAAAAATTGTGGAACTACTATGGAATATCAATCTCCCTATATGGAAAGGAATGCCAGACAATATACTCAAAGATGAAGAAGAGGCTTGAGGCAATAGAAACGTGGTTCTACAGAAGGATGCTGAGAATACGATAGTTTGAACATGTGATCAATGACAAAAAAAAAACAAAAATGACAGATGAAGAAGAGACTTGAAGCAACAGAAACAAAGAAAAGAGTACTGAACTGTTATGTAATATCAGTCCTCCTATATGGCAGTGAATGCTGGACAATCTCCTCACAGATGAAGAAGAGACTTGAACAAGAGAAACAAAGAAAAGAGTACTGAACTGTTAAGTAATATCTGTCCACCTATATGGCAGTGAATGCTGGACAATCTCCTCACAGATGAAGAGTCTTGAAGCAACAGAAACAAAGAAAAGAGTACTGAACTGTTATGTAATATCAGTCCTCCTATATGGCAGTGAATGCTGGACAATCTCCTCACAGATGAAGAAGAGACTTGAAGCAACAGAAACAAAAGAAAAGAGTACTGAACTGTTACGTAATATCAGTCCTCCTATAAAGCAGTGTATGCTGGACAATCTCCTCACAGATGAAGAAGAGACTTGAAGCAACAGAAACAAAGAAAAGAGTACTGAACTGTTATGTAATATCAGTCCTCCTATATGGCAGTGAATGCTGGACAATCTCCTCACAGATGAAGAAGAGACTTGAAGCAACAGAAACAAAGAAAAGAGTACTGAACTGTTATGTAATATCAGTCCTCCTATATGGCAGTGAATGCTGGACAATCTCCTCACAGATGAAGAAGAGACTTGAAGCAACAGAAACAAAGAAAAGAGTACTGAGCTGTTACGTAATATCAGTCCTCCTATATGGCAGTGAATGCTGAACAATCTCCTCACAGATGAAGAAGAGACTTGAAGCAACAGAAACAAAGAAGAGTTCTGAACTGTTACGTAATATCAGTCCTCCTTATATGGCAGTGAATGCTGGACAATCTCCTCACAGATGAAGAAGAGACTTGAAGCAACAGAAACAAAGAAAAGAGTACTGAACTGTTATGTAATATCAGTCCTCCTATATGGCAGTGAATGCTGGACAATCTCCTCACAGATGAAGAAGAGACTTGAAGCAAGAGAAACAAAGAAAAGAGTACTGAACTGTTAAGTAATATCTGTCCACCTATATGGCAGTGAATGCTGGACAATCTCCTCACAGATGAAGAGACTTGAAGCAACAGAAACAAAGAAAAGAGTACTGAACTGTTATGTAATATCAGTCCTCCTATATGGCAGTGAATGCTGGACAATCTCCTCACAGATGAAGAAGAGACTTGAAGCAACAGAAACAAAGAAAAGAGTACTGAACTGTTACGTAATATCAGTCCTCCTATATGGCAGTGAATGCTGGACAATCTCCTCACAGATGAAGAAGAGACTTGAAGCAACAGAAACAAAGAAAAGAGTACTGAACTGTTATGTAATATCAGTCCTCCTATATGGCAGTGAATGCTGGACAATCTCCTCACAGATGAAGAGACTTGAAGCAACAGAAACAAAGAAAAGAGTACTGAACTGTTATGTAATATCAGTCCTCCTATATGGCAGTGAATGCTGGACAATCTCCTCACAGATGAAGAAGAGACTTGAAGCAACAGAAACAAAGAAAAGAGTACTGAACTGTTATGTAATATCAGTCCTCCTATATGGCAGTGAATGCTGGACAATCTCCTCACAGATGAAGAAGAGACTTGAAGCAACAGAAACAAAGAAAAGAGTACTGAACTGTTATGTAATATCAGTCCTCCTATATGGCAGTGAATGCTGGACAATCTCCTCACAGATGAAGAAGAGACTTGAAGCAACAGAAACAAAGAAAAGAGTACTGAACTGTTATGTAATATCAGTCCTCCTATATGGCAGTGAATGCTGGACAATCTCCTCACAGATGAAGAAGAGACTTGAAGCAACAGAAACAAAGAAAAGAGTACTGAACTGTTACGTAATATCAGTCCTCCTATATGGCAGTGAATGCTGGACAATCTCCTCACAGATGAAGAAGAGACTTGAAGCAACAGAAACAAAGAAAAGAGTACTGAACTGTTATGTAATATCGGTCCTCCTATATGGCAGTGAATGCTGGACAATCTCCTCACAGATGAAGAAAAGACTTGAAGCAACAGAAACAAAGAAAAGAGTACTGAACTGTTATGTAATATCAGTCCTTCTATATGGCAGTGAATACTGAACAATCTCCTCACAGATGAAGAAGAGACTTGAAGCAACAGAAACAAAGAAAAGAGTACAGAACTGTTATGTAATATCAGTCCTCCTATATGGCAGTGAATGCTGGACAATCTCCTCACAGATGAAGAAGAGACTTGAAGCAACAGAAACAAAGAAAAGAGTACTGAACTGTTATGTAATATCAGTCCTTCTATATGGCAGTGAATACTGAACAATCTCCTCACAGATGAAGAAGAGACTTGAAGCAACAGAAACAAAGAAAAGAGTACTGAACTGTTATGTAATATCAGTCCTTCTATATGGCAGTGAATACTGAACAATCTCCTCACAGATGAAGAAGAGACTTGAAGCAACAGAAACAAAGAAAAGAGTACTGAACTGTTATGTAATATCAGTCCTCCTATATGGCAGTGAATGCTGGACAATCTCCTCACAGATGAAGAAGAGACTTGAAGCAACAGAAACAAAGAAAAGAGTACTGAACTGTTATGTAATATCAGTCCTTCTATATGGCAGTGAATACTGAACAATCTCCTCACAGATGAAGAAGAGACTTGAAGCAACAGAAACAAAGAAAAGAGTACTGAACTGTTATGTAATATCAGTCCTCCTATATGGCAGTGAATGCTGGACAATCTCCTCACAGATGAAGAAGAGACTTGAAGCAACAGAAACAAAGAAAAGAGTACTGAACTGTTATGTAATATCAGTCCTCCTATATGGCAGTGAATGCTGGACAATCTCCTCACAGATGAAGAAGAGACTTGAAGCAACAGAAACAAAGAAAAGAGTACTGAACTGTTACGTAATATCAGTCCTCCTATATGGCAGTGAATGCTGGACAATCTCCTCACAGATGAAGAAGAGACTTGAAGCAACAGAAACAAAGAAAAGAGTACTGAACTGTTATGTAATATCAGTCCTCCTATATGGCAGTGAATGCTGGACAATCTCCCACAGATGAAGAAGAGACTTGAAGCAACAGAAACAAAGAAAAGAGTACTGAACTGTTATGTAATATCAGTCCTCCTATATGGCAGTGAATGCTGGACAATCTCCTCACAGATGAAGAAGAGACTTGAAGCAAGAGAAACAAAGAAAAGAGTACTGAACTGTTATGTAATATCAGTCCTCCTATATGGCAGTGAATGCTGGACAATCTCCTCACAGATGAAGAAGAGACTTGAAGCAACAGAAACAAAGAAAAGAGTTCTGAACTGTTATGTAATATCAGTCCTCTTATATGGCAGTGAATGCTGGACAATCTCCTCACAGATGAAGAAGAGACTTGAAGCAAGAGAAATGTAGTTCTGCAAAAAGATGCTGAGAATACCATAGATCAAACATGGACATCTTTGTCTATTTAAACTACTCTCTTTCTTATTCCTTCTCTCACTCACACACACTATCTCTCTCTCTCTCTCTCTCTCTCTCTCTCTCTCTTCTTTATTCATTTTCTTTCAATCCCATACACCATTTTCTGTCATTCTTTCTTTATTCTCTCCCTTACCTTTCTGGCAAATACACTTTTTTTATTTTCTCTTTCTCTCTGTCATTCTATCTCTCTCTCTCTCACACTATACTTCTTTTCTTCCTCAGCTTGTCAAATCCCTTAGAATTCAAACAAAAGTATCACCTTTGATGACATCATCGCACTCCATAAGCATCTTCTCAAGTTCCATAAAACGTTCCTTGTCAATCTCTAATTCATATGTGGACAGGTTGTTGTACAAAGTCTGTGCAAGAAGAAATATTAAAAAAGTCATTTTATGAAAATGCAAAAGATGATTGGTTTGAATTTCAAACAATTCTTTTTATACTATAGTTTGCCTAATACATTACTCAAGAGGCATTCAAAGTAGAGGATTACAGAACAAAGTGTATAAGAAGGGGTGGTAGAAAGTGAAGATTAGGAGAATAAAGAGGATTTATGATTGTCCCTTGACTTCATGAGGTTAAGAATGTAATGTTCAGGGAAGCACACACGTAGGAGTCTGTTTTCTACAAAATGGTTGTTCTTGGAAAAACCTTTCTAAATGGAAGTTCGTTACAAATGGAATAAAGAGGGAGGGAAGACGATTTGGCTCAATGGGCATGGCATAGTCATCTTAGCTGTAAATGTCTGAACTCGTGGAACTAAAAAATGGTGCTTATCAGAACATTTAGCATGAGAATTGCAATCGAGTACCAACAGACAGGCGAAGTTGCATCTCTATGAGAGATACTGCAGGGAGGTTAATATGTAATCACCCACAATTTTGAAGACTGAAAAATGAGGATTAAATAACTATGGAGGTCTGGAAAGAACTTGTGAATGGTTTTCTTTTTATATTCTACAACCTCTAATCTGGTAAATATATATAACAATTGTGAAAACTTATTTTGACATATTTATCTATATCTCAGAGATGAGGTATTATGATTACTTGCATTTACATTATTTGGACTGTTATCCTCATTTTCATTGCCATATTCACAACGTTTTGGCCGTTGTATGTTCCAGCCTTTATGACTATGTTTCTCTATATATCTTACTTATTATAAAACACAGATTGTGTGTGTGTGTGTGTGTGTGTGTGTGTGTGTGTGTGTGTTTATATATTGGATCGGATTTACTACATTTTTCAACCGATTTCAACAAAACTTCACAGGACTACGTAAATTTACCTTGCAGTGGTTCTAATAGTGCCAAATATTGGAAAAACAATTGTTTTGCATGAAATCAATTTGAAAGCACGGTTAAATCGCACCCGGCCGGAAGTTACTGCCGGCTACTCAAACGTCCAAATGCCGTTAACTTCCAGTGACTCAGCATTTTTTTTTTTTTCAGAGAACGATACACAAAAAGTAAACTAATGAAATCTAAACATACACAAGTCCTCCTAACTAAAAATAATAACCAGAAACTACTTTAAATACACATGGTGTTCAAATTTTTTTACTGTATTCAATAAGTAAAAATCATAAATTGTAAAAGATTACAGAAAGTCTACTAAATGAATACGATTTGTTAGATCATCTTACTTATTATAAAACACAGATTGTGTGTGTGTGTGTGTCTGTACGTTTATATATTGGATCAGATTTCCTACATTTTTCAACCGATTTCAATAAAACTTCACAGGACTACATAAAATTTGAAAACATGATTAAGAGGCATCACAAGAATGAAAGGGAGACAACTCATATCGAGTTATACTTATTATAAAACCCAGGTTGTTTGTGTGCGTGTGTTCATTTATATATGAGATCGGATTTCCTACATTTTTCAACCGATTTCAACAAAACTTCACTTTTTTTTTGGCAGGTAGTGTTTTTTATTGTCTTGCACACTTTTTTCTTTATTTTTACATTCAGAATGCTTTAAAAATTTCATTTACAAGACAATTGTTTATAATAAAATTCTATTCAATCAGTAGATCCATAATGATTGAAAACAATGTTTTTGTTTGAGTTTGGGTTTGACCAATTCGTAAAAAAAAAAAAAAAAAAAACTAATTAAGACATGCATGTCCGTGAACCTTAAACAATAATCTTTGTCAATTTTATTTTTCAGTCTTTATGATGGTCGATACTTGATCTATCTCTTACTGTTACATCCCCGGGCAACGCCAGGCTCTACTGCTAGTCTGTCTATATCTCTGAGATGAGATATTATGATTAATTGCATCATTTACATTATTTGGACTGTTATCCTCATCTTTATTGCCATATTCACAACATTTCTGCTGTTATACACTCCAGCCTTTATGTCTATGTCTCTCTATATATCTGTCTATATCTCTGAGATGAGATATTATGATTACTTGCATTATTTACATTATTCAGACTGTTATCCTCATCTTCATTGCCATATTCACAATGTTTTGGCTGTTGTATTCTCTGGCCTTCTTCTGACTAAAAACTGTTTCTTTTCATTTGACTTTTCTTTCCATGAATTCCAAGTCATCCTGCCGATTTTTTACAGTTCTATCACAAACATTTACTCCCATGTAGTGATACTGATGTTAATAGAAAACATTTACCCATTTTGACAAATTTGTTTTGTACATTTTCTATCTTCAAAGCATATTGTATTATGTTTTCTAGGCAAATTTTTATGCTTTCATGTCTTTCATAGTCTACCAACATGTTTTTTTTTTCTTTTGGAACCACCCCATCTCTTTTATATTAGGTTGTCACGCATGAAAGGATGCCTTTTTAGTTGGTTGTTGATCCAGTCGTCTAACAAAGTAATTTCCTTAGTATATAAAAAATCTTGACTCTTTTTTTTTTCAATATATTGTTACTCATCAGTTCAATGAAAAAGATTACAATGAAATAATGTCACATAATCTTACAGTATGACTAAAAACTGGGAAGTACAACTATTTTTGCATTGAATCATTACAAGCGATGAGAAATACATACTCTTTGACAACAGATGCAAGTGAATCACCAAACCAATACCCAAAATCCTCCACTGCAGCCTTAATGTTTACTGTAAGGTGGTCTTTCAAAGGGGTTATTTATTATTCATTCTTGCCTCAAGAGAAAACACTAACAGCAACCTCATATTGTGGTGAAATTAAGTGTATGCATGAAAAATTGTATAAGAAACACCCAAGTCTTATGAATAGGGATGGCCCAATTTTGCTGCACGACAACACACAGCCACACACTTCTGTCCAAACGCTGCATAGCCTGAATTATGAAATGTTGCCTCATCCTCCATATTCACCTGATATCTCTACCACTGATTATCACTTACATAATTACTTACATTAATTACATTACATTAATTACTTACATAATTAAATTTGTAAATTTTAAATCTTAATTTTAACAATACCGTATCTAGTATACTAATAAATATAATAAATATAGTATTTTAGATCTTTAAAAATAAATGATAAATATATAAGATTTGACTTAATCATATTTGAAAACCACTTTAAGATAACTCCAGTGTATTTTATAAAAAAAAAAAACAAATAAATAAATAAAAAATAAATAAAAATGCCAATGTATTGTAGTGTATCTTATATATGCCTCTAAAAATAACAGACAGAATGACACGTCCTCATATAAAGAAGCCAGTATTGACAGGCAGAAATTAAAAACCCACACCTAACCTTTAACCTATATTTACACTTTGCCATCTTAAATTATACTTGTATCCTGATCCATCAAAAAAGGCAACACCCTTTTAAAATTTTGTAATCCCTTCCCCCCTCCAACTTAAAATATATAATACTATTTAGCTTTAAAAAAAAGTAAATAAAATTTTTGTAAGTTATTCAACATCGTTTGAGAATGGAACAAAAACTTTAATTTAAGTTTAATTAAATGTTTAGTTTTTAGTTCTGAAACATGTTAATTTCTGTGTCGCGATGAATACATATTTTTAAATAATAACAAAGCTCTACTGTGTATCGAGCACTGGTTTTAAAAATAAATGCTAAAGAACTATGGATTATAAATCTGACTGTTCTTTCTTTTTATTTTAATATATGTATATTGGCTCCCACTAAGTTAGAGCACTATTAACTTTTATTTTTTTTAAATATTTTTTAAATTTATGGAAAAAACAAATTTCGGAATCTCTCTGAAGAACATTTCCAGTACAAACAGATGGGATTATTTCGTCAAATTAATACAAAAAACAGAGGACCTAATAAGAAGGATGAGATGAAAAGCATATTTACTCGTTTTCAGCAACCATTTCTGTGTCGCGATGAATACATATTTTAATAATAATGTGTGTGTGTGTGTGTGTGTGTGTGTGTGTGTGTGTGTGTGTGTGTGTGTGTGTGTGTGTGTGTTCAGTTGTATGGATACTAGTTTGTAGCCCTAGTTACAACTAATTAGTTAGATATATAGATATATATATTTGGAAAACTTTTACTTCCTTTATTCTGCTAATGAATCAGCATTATCAGAAAAATAATTTTATTTCATAAGAAGCGTCATCATAAAAATTGAAAAGGCTCAAGCATGGATGACAAAAAGTAACAAAGTTTGATATTATCCACACGGTCAAAAAATGTATTCCCAACTTTAAAACACTATCATACAACAG